TCTTTACATTCTTCCTCTGGCAGCTATTTTTAGGCGACTTGACATTACTTATCATTTGTATGCTGATGACTGCCAATTTTATGTTTCTTTAAAACCTCAAGAGTCTGTGCAACCGGCTGTGGATTGCCTGAATGGCTGGCTTTATAATAACTTTTTACATTTGAACGAGTCTAAGTTGGAGGCTCTTTTATTTGTTCCTCCCTCTCCCACTGCAGTTAGTCCTGTCCTGCCTCCCTGTTTTTGCAGCTTAGTGAAGCCAACAACCACTAAACTGGGGGCGGTTTTGTACCCAGAGCTGCGGATGGACTCCTACATTGGCCAGGTGGTTAGATCCTGCTGTTTCCAGCTTCGCTAGCTATCAAAGATGAAGTCCATCCTGACTAGACGTGACCTGCACACAGTGATCCATGAGTTTGTGATCTCTCACTTGGATTATGCAAATTCCCTTTTTTATGGATCCACATCTTCCTCGGTTGCGCGCGTACAGCTGGTGCAGAATGCGGCGGCCCGCCTTTTGACACACACCAGGAGGGAGCACATTACTCCTGTTCTGGCCCAGCTGCACTGGCTCCCGGTGCGCTACCGCATCCATTTTAAATGTTTTCTTCTTGTTTTTAGGTCACTCTATCTTTATGCGCCTCTCTACTTGACTCAGATGGTTCGGCCTTATGTACCTGGTCGAATTCTTCAGTCAGCAGACCACCGCCTGTTACAGGTCCCAAGTGTTCGGGTGAGGACACGAGGAGAACGAGCGTTATCAATCTGTGCGCCTCGTCTCTGGAACCAACTCCCTCTAGAAGTGAGAATGCCCCCCCCCCCCCCCCCCCCCCCCCGGCTCTCTGATTTTAAATCACGCCTGAAGGCTCATTTTTATTCCTTGGCGTTTACTTCAGCCTAGTTAGCCATGTACTACATCTCAGTTTTATTTTTATTGTCGATTTTATAGTAGTTCATGCTCATGTATGCTCGGTCGTGTAGAAATGCTCTTTATAAATCAAATGGATGGATGGATTTTTACAAGTTTTACGGACAGAGGTACTACAAAACTCAAGCTAAAACACGATCAGAAGGATGAATCTAGAAACTCGTCTTTATCAGAGCTAAAAGATTAAAAAGCAATGTTTGGAAGTTTGGGACAAACAGGAAGTAGAAACCAAACGCAGCTCACAGGAAGTCAGAAATATACGGAACAAGCTACTAAACATGGAGAAAAAGCAGGTGAAAATCTGGTTAATTATCAGTCGACAAAATCCATTCAAAGCCAAACTGGAGCGACCAGCCGACGGGACGAGTCAACGTTTCAAGAACTCATACATTTATTCAGACCAGCTTTATTCTGAAAGGAAATGAGGCTTGGAAGTTTTTGGTGTTCTGAGATTCTCCTTCATCCTTCAAACATGTCAAACATCAGGAAACATCATTCAGTTTTTAGGATGAAACATTAAACCGTTAAATCATTTCCATCTGAGGTTTTTTGTGTTTTTATTATTTAACGGATTGAAGCTCGTCATTATCACCGATCCGTCTGAATACGCTCGCAGTTTCAGGAGGAAACCATTCCCAACGGGGGGAATGCCTTCGATCTGCTCAGGGAGCACTCACTTCTCCTGATGCACTGTGGGAAATGCAGTCTCGGGGTTGTGGCGCCATAGTGAATATAGAAACGTTCCTCCCAGCTGTCCGGGAGCATCAGTGCCTCATTCACAGTATTTCCCAGAATTAATTGCTGTCATATATGTGGGTCAGATGGTCCTCAGCCCTTCGCCATATGTCTGCTGTTGTGTGTGTGTGTGTGCATACATGTGTGTGTGTGTGTGTGTGTGTGTGTATACATATATATACATATATATATATATATATATATATGTGTGTGTGTGTGTGTGTGTATACATGTATATATGTGTGTGTGTGTGTGTGTGTGTGAGTGTATGTCCAGGTTTTTGTGAAACTCGGATGTGACCTTTTAAACGTGACATGTAGCCAGTCAGAAAATGAGGTGACAGAACACACTGCACGCTCTTCATCCGCCATGTTTGTTCACTGTAACGTTTGATGCGTCCCGACGTTTTGGCGAGGTTTCCGTCCGAGCGGGGAATGTTTGTGAATGATGTGTAGTTTTTGCCGCGTTGCTGCACACGACAGACACACTGTTGGACCAAAACGGATACATCCATGATTTTTATTCCCACTGAGGTCTCTCATGCTTTTCGGGGCCTACGAAGCTGGATTTTAATGCTTGGTGTGCAGACACAATGAGGCTGTATCTGTTTTATATTATGTCTGACTTCACGTTGAATGTTTGGCCTGAGCTAACCTTATATAATTGTTTGTGTTTAGACCAGAGCAGGACAACAGCAGGAATCATTTCTGGCTCCTAGTGCTCAGAAAACCGGGACTCGTCTCTCACAGCAAAAATAATAACTTTAAAAATCATCAGCTCAGCGCTAATCCCGCCACAGCCTGGAAACACGTTAATACCGTAGCGATTAGCAACGATCCTAAACTCCAGACAGCCCTCTCAGGCCCGGGCTCCTCTCCCACCCCAGCTTCAGCTCTCCGTTCCTGGGGGAGGTGGTCAGACGAGTCCCTGGATTAGGGCCACTCGGTGCTTTGGACCCTGGAGTGGGAAACGCTAAACCCCTGGATGTTTGCCACTTCATTTCTCTGAGTGGCATCAGCTCTCTTGTTATGATTGTTAATTAAAGTTGGATTTATTCAAGAGGGTTTTGGCGAACGTTTAAAACAAGCTGACATTTTCTGCTCTTTTCCGTTCTCATTTTTAAAGTGGAACTGAAAATTTCACAGTTGGATTGTGTTGTTTATCTGCCTTTTATTTGTGTGGGAAAGTGGGATGTAGCGCGTTGGAGGAGGATGGGGACTTTCTCATATGAATGAGCAGATGTTGCCATTTCTCAAGAGGGATTTATGTCAGGATGCACACACACACACACACACACACACACACGCACGCACGCACGCACACACACACACACACACACACACACACACCACAGGGTTTCATGTCATTATGAATGCATCTCATCAGTCGACATCAACATGTTCTGATCTGAAGTTTTAGGTTGTATAAAATTTCTGTTGAACACATTTCTCATAGTTTTATTATTTTTATTTGGCTACACTTTATGTCATGTTTACAACAACTACAGTTCACGGAAGCTAATGTGGGCTAATGCTACCTTCGGGGTCTTTTCTTGGACAATTTTAGAACAAATGACAGTTTTTCTCGTTTGCTTCAACACGTTTCTTGAAACTCTGCGTCGTATTCTGAAAACAGTAAACACAATTCCATGTGATGATGATGATGATGATGATGGAGGCGACAGTGAAGCTGGACTCGTTACCCCGCCTCTCTCATAGTCATACCATGGACAAGGACTTGGTCAACTAAGATGGCTCAAATTTCATCCGAGACACTTGTCTCCTTGCCCTGGCTCTTCTCCTCCTACTCCTCTTCCCTGGTGTCCTAGATCTCCTCCTCTTGCACCTCCTCTTGCACCTCCTCCCATGTGGTTAAAGTTAAATTGAGACCGTTTGCAGCCGTCTGAGTGAATGTCCACGGCCCTCGGTTGGATTTCTAGAATGGTGGAATTTTGTCTCCAGCAGCCTGTTTATGTTCATCTCAACTGACGTGGGGCCTCTTCTTAAAGGGACTTTACGGACTTTTGAATTTTTATGCTCGTGATTGCCCCTTCAGGCCAAAAGCGTAACGGCAGCTTCAATAGTAGGCTCGTGCACGAGGCGCGCATGCTGTACGTGCACACTCCTTAACGAAAATAACAGCTGAGACAGTCCCTTTGTGTGTGTGTGTGTGTGTGTGTGTGTGTGTGTGTGTGTGTGTGTGTGTGTGTGTGTGTGTGTGTGTGTGGCCCGGAGGACAGAGGACAGGAGAACGTGCAGCTAATTAATTAAATAATGTGGCTCTGTACCTTTCTCTTCAGCACAGCCGACAAAGGCTTATGATGGGTCAGTCCTCCTGCATGCTCAGATCATTCCCTTCCCTTGCTTGAAAAATTGTTCCAAAATGAAAGTTGAACCCACATCTTTTTTATCTGTGAATTCAATGCCGTTCGACGAGTCTCAAATAAAAATTTGGGCATCTTACTGTAAAAAATATACCATTAATGTAAAAAAGAAACTCTAAATAAACTATGTTCACATCCAGAATCGAACCCAGGTCTTCTGCACGAGAGTGAGACATCTTACTAGACGAGCTAAAGCACCAGTGACATCTTTGGTACCTGTAACATTTATATCCTTGATGACAGCTGAAACAACGTTCAAAGAACGGTTGGGAGTGAAAATGGCTATTTTGTTGCTAATTAGCAGGAAATATCTAGAAGAAAGTTCTACAGAAAGTAGCTAAGGGTCCTCAGAAATGTAGCTAGCTTTGTCACTAGGCGTTAGGAACAGCGACAAAGTGGCACTGCCTCTCTCTCTGCTGCTAAAGCTACGGATAGCAAATGCTACGGGCGATGCCTGAGCGTGAACGCGCATGAAGCAGCCTGCTCGACCCGAGCATCTCTCTTTTTCTGTGATTTTACAGAAAAACAGGCAATCACAGTAAAAATGCCAGGGCTCATTCTACAGGACCAGGGCATTGCAGGAGAACGTATGAAGAAGACATTTATTATTTCTATACATGTTTTGTCCCTTTAAGCAAACTTTCCTTTTGTCATTTTTTTAATTAGAATATGAAAAAAATTCAAGGACGTTAAAGCTGATGATTGAGGTTTGGAAACTCCTACATTAGGGAAATTGGGAGGCCAGTCGGGGGGGTTGGCGGTTCATTCCCAGCTTCCTCGCTGCGTGTCCTGTTCCCAGCCTTGATCAGCCGCCTGTTTTCATTTGTCTGCCTGAAGAGTTTCTGTCCACAGACACCAACCTGACCTGTCTGCAGCTCAGACTCTTACCAGTTTTTGGGGATTTGTTGTTTTCTCCTCTTCCTGCACTCTTCCTCCCCATCACCACCTAATCCTCAGGCGAATTCCAGTCAGCAGGCCCGCAGAGGCGACCGCACAAAACCACCTGTAGGCCCGTTCCCCAGCTCAAACCTCCACCGAGCTGGCAGCGTCAAAGACCTGATCAGCAAATTCTCCGGTCCCGATCAGGTCTTGTGCTCCCGTTCCCCACGGAGCCACGTGTCTGAACCCAGACGAGTCACAAAGTCCGTGTCCACGGAGTCTCTAAACTCGGCAAAGTCTACGTCGGGTCAGAGCGTTATAGGACACGCCGGGGGGCCGGTTCCCAGTATCGCTGTGACTCCATTCGGGGAAACCACACAGAACGGGGTTGAACCTGCTCAGAAAGGCGCCAGAGGCAGAGACACAGCAGCCAGCATCGATTGTCCGGTGGGAGGAGGCGGGACCCAGAAGGCTGATTCCAGACCGCCAGCTTCAGACTCTGGTAGAGACGACTCTGGCATGGGATCGGTAAGAAATAAAGCAACCGTCACCTGCAGATCCGCACCTGCATGAATCAGTGCACCCTTTCTGGCTGATGATGTCACAGCGGCACGGCACGGCACAACGTTTTAAATATTTGTCTGAGTGATTGAAGCATGAAACCATCGCACGCAATCAGCTGATAAATCCACCTGACCGGTGCATCGTGCTCTTCTCCTCTGATTGGTTTATGGATAACAACTGGAACCTTTCACCGCTTTTCACGTGAAAACCATGATTTTGGGTTTGGTTGACCCAAGTGTTTGTATGAATTAGTCATTTTTAATTCCTGGGATTATCGTGGTTTGACAGCGTGAGGCTGGATCGGTTTTTCTTGGCAGTAAAAAAGCAGAACAGGAACCCAAAGTTTCACATCGGTTTTTAGTGAACCTGCATGTTGGGACTGAGCTTCATGCACCAGAACATGAAGCCCAAATGAGTCTTCACGATTTGCTAGAGTCGCAGGGTTCTGGGCCAGACTCACTAAGACGGATGAGGAGAACATCGTGTCTGATGTTCTCAGACCTGTTCTTCATCAGCATTAGGATCACAGAGGAATCTGTAGACCCCGTGTTGAGCTGTAATCAATCCACTTTAGTCCTTTAGTCACGTTTCCTCTCCCAGCAGCCAGGAGTTCCTGTAGTCCTTCAAACTGGTTCTGGACCAGTGGGTCTCCAGACCGAAGCTCACCTTGTTGGGTCTAAAATTCTGTTTAAGTTTAAATCGGTTTTAGCCACGCGAACAGGTTATGCGTCTGACAGGAGTGTAGCGTTGTGGTTTTATGCTCTTTTATGAAAGAGGAACCATGCTACGTATTAATTCGGAATATTAATTTTTTATAAATCAATAACCAAATATTATATTGTTAAGAAGACTCAAAGGTTGTTTTCATCGATAAACTGACGATAATATCTGTGTGTCTGTGTATGTGTAACTCAAGGGATGAGCCAGACAGAAAATGGGACTTTGGCTCCAACAGGGTGATTCTCAGATCTGTGGGATTATTTTGAATATTACGGAAATTGTAATAAACTCCTGATCTGAAGCGTTTTGGAGGATGGCAGGATTGAAAATAGAAGGAAAAGAGAATTGGATCAGGAGTTCTGGACCGGATCTGGGGTTCTGGTCAGGTTTGGGTTTAACACCAGGCTGACGTGATTTCTGTGATTTTTTCCACGTCTGTTTTAACTTCTTGGTTCTGATCTTTTTCCTGCATCATCTGTCCTTAATCCAACCTCTGGTCTGATTGTCCTCTCGTCTGCATGTCCACCTGTCCACATCTTTAAAAACAAGCCAGACCCCATTCTTGCTGTTTCACCTCGTTTCCTCCAGGAGGCGGAGTTTGACTCGAACAAGCAGGCCGACAGCCCGTCAGAGGAGCCCCTCACCTCCAGATCCACGCCCGTCAGAGAGAACCAGAAGTACCAGCTGCTGATGAACCAGGAGCTGAAGAGCAACGGGCTGAGCAGCCGGGAGGCTGAGGAGGGCAGCCCCAGACTGTCCAGATGGGAAGCCTCGGTGCTGGGGGCCAGCCGCTACCGCGGGTCCCTGGAGTCCCTGGCCTCACGGGACTGGGAGACCGGTTCTGACAGGGTAGGTGAGAAGCCCGCGTGCGCGCGTGTGTGTGTGTGTGCGTGTGTGTGTGTGTGTGTGTGCAGGCTCTCTGATAACCAGCTGCTGATAAATGATTGGTTCAGACCAACAGCGCCATCTTCTGGAGACGAGCAGCAGAATTAGTCTCATCATGAGTTTTATCCTCTTTTTATTTTATTGCACCGATGAACGTTTTTTATTCCATTTTTATTGTGACTTGAGAAACTAAATAACTGACATGAACTAAAAACCTCCAGATTTTCTCTTATTTAGGTTCGTCGCTAAAACATTTTAACTGTTTTCAGACGCCCGGGAGGGGGCGTGGCCTTTCCAGAAGCCGCGTTTTCTGGACCAGATTTAAGGTTTCCTGTTTCACTCAAACATCAGTCTGAAGATCTGCAGGTTTCATGTTTTAAAAATCAACACAGACTCTTACGAATGTGTTTCTCAGGTGTGTGTAACACCTGACCACGCCTCCCAGCTAATCAAATAAAAGTCAGTTTGTTGGATTCTTAGAAAAAATTCTACTTACTATCATTGCTGACTTGATTCTATTTAGTTATAATTACGCATCAGTTCCTCGTTACATTAACGAGATTTAAAAATTCTTCACTTGATTAAAAACTCTTTGATTTTGAAATGAGAACATGTGTTTTATGTGTTATTCTTAATAATTAGAGATGCACCGATTCTGGTTTTCAGAGCCAATACCATACACCCCCCTCCCCTTGAATTCTGATCCTCTCCGACCAAAGCCTGGTTCATGCTTCTCCGTCAGCTCCGCAAGGGACAGACACGCACGGATTGACGGAAGCGTTTTGCTCTCATGCTTCTCCGTCTCCTGGAGAGTGTTGCAAAGCAATTGCCCGGCAGGACAACAGAGGGCGTAGCGCTGTTCTTTGGTATCCTGTAGGGCTGTAGCGAAGCCTCGACGAAGTCGACGGCTCGATTCTAAAAATTTGTCGACGTCAGATCCGGAAGTCGACGCACCGCGCCCACTTGTTGCATCCCCAGGAGTTTGTAAATAGAGGAGGAATCTGCCTGTTCTTCCTCTAGTTCGCCCTCTTCTCCGCCTTCACTAACATCTCCGCCAAATACCGAAGACCCGGAACAACGTCCGTCCACTACTAGATTATTTTCCTGTTTTGCCCCTTCGTCTCCCGGCAACGGACAACAACTTCCGGGGTCAGATGCGCTGCTTCGTGTCTATCGCAGATGTAGAAAATCACCGGGAGCGCTTCTCCCTTAATAAAGGAGCTTCTTTCAGACATGAGGAGAGCTGTTTTGGTGGTAGCAGTCTCTCCTCCGTGCTGGTCTGTTTGCTGCTGGGTGTTTTTGGTTTATTTAAACTTGGTAACTTGAACTTAATGTTGGTAATGCTACTGTTAGCATCTTCGCTAACAGCTTCTTGCGTTGGGATAAGCTGTTACGTTTTGGTTTAGAGTTCATCTTTTTTGTGGTGTAGATCTCCCTTTTATTACATTTAGAGTGTTGTGGGTTTTCGGTTTAGTGTAAAATATCACCTGAGTTTGGTTTAACCCGTAAGACCACTCGCCTCACGCACGTAAGTGACCAAAACAAAGCAGCATGGAGACACTCCATCTTCTACCACCTCTCAGGCAGCAGCCTGCACTTCCAAGTTCTACACGTCATCAGAACATAACCAACACAATAAACGCAGTGTTATACAAAATGGAAGGCCTGTAGTGTTTATTCTCTTACAGTAAGAATTTATCAATTTTTTTTTGAGGAATTTATTTGAGATTTTCTGGTTTTTGTTAATTGTGCAATAGAAAAATAATCATTAGATTAATTTTCTAAATAGTCATTAGAATAGTCGACTATTCGATAAAGTAATCGTCAGAATAATCGTTTTAAAAATAATCGTTTACCCCCAGCCCTAGTATCCTGTCATGTATCGGTCCAAGATAGCGTGTTTATATTGTGTTTTTGTGTACATAAGAGACTTTTTAACACGGACATATTTGTCTCTCATCCTCCTCCACCTCTTCATGCGCTCCCCACCTCTAAACCCACGTTTCCTGTCATTTCCGTCCACAAATAAAACGCTTGCTGCGCATCTTTTCACTCCTCCAGTCACGGGAGGATTAAGCGTTCATATTTTTAGAGTTTTTTCGCGAGGTATTCTTCTAGCTGCTCCGTGTCTGCCGCTAGTTATCCTCGGCTCTCTTTGCAATGGCGGCGCTGTAAACAACAGCGGCGTCCTGACCAATCACAAGCTTGCGTTCTCCGTCTCGTTCGACGGATGTTTTAAAAAGTGGGCTTGACTCCGTACGTACTTGCGTGCCTGCCGGAGCCCTACGCAAGAACGGATAATGGCGTTGCGTGTCTCCGCGCTGACGCAGACGGAGAAGCATAAATCAGGCTTGAGCCGATCATGCTGGATATCGACCAATCCCTACATATTGGGCCGATGTTTTCCATTTTCTTAAATTGGCATTGGCCGATACCTTCTTTGTAAAGCCGATTTAAAGACACCCCCGAGCAGACCGGTGCCGCTGCAGGAATTCATTTAAATGCATATTTACTGAACAACATCTGCATAACAAATGCTCTAAAATTATTTTCTACTGAAATTCCGTTTTCTGTACCAGTTTGAATATTTAATAATTGGCCTGATTTGCCTGATTGACTTAAGTTTTTAACACTGAGCAAAGCAAACATTTAAGATTTAACAGCTGGCTGAACTCAGTGTTAAAGGCTGATTCAGCTTCAGAAATGTTGTGCACCAACTGATGCTTGTCATGACATTTTAACATGAAAGTAGGTTGGATGCGTCAAAACTAGGGTGAGCAGATCCCAACTGGCCAAATGTGGGACAACGTGAAGTTCCCATGTAATGAGAAAACAACAAACAAACAAAACATACATTCTGCCTTTCAGCCCTAACATCACTGTTACATATACATACATTTATATTATTATTATTATCATATATTTCTTGGTACATATTTTATAACAGGAACAAGCAAACAGCAAAAGCTTTACGGTTCCACAGTTCCTCTCACGTTACCACACGACTCTGTAATGGCTCTGATCATTTTAATAACAAAGATCGGCCCACAATAATAAAACATGCAGGTTTAAGCAGCTTTTCAGAGTTTTCATTCAATGTTTTCCACAACAGAATGACAGTAAAAGTACCAGTAATAGTTTTTAGATCTATTTATGTTTGTTTTTCATTCATTTTCCACTAAAATCAGCATCTCGCTGAAAAAATATACACTTTTTTGCTATTTTTTTCATAATTCAGAAACAAAACGTTTTTTTAAACGTGACAACAAATCTCTTCTAATTTTAGGTGAGAGAATAAATAAACATCAGATTATAATCTCTAAAAAAATCTGATGTAATCTAATAAAAGTTTCTTAGAGTTACTTTTTGCCTCAAAATTCTGAGAATAAGTGGTGAAAGCTTCATTTTCTCATTATTTCTTCACTGTGCTTCAAGGGGCTCAGCACACAAATACCCCTGATGGCAGCAGATCGGGGCGGGGCACATTTGACTCCGCCCACCGCGCCCCGCCCAGATCTGCGTACTGCAGTCAGGGGCTACTCACTCAGCATGTAGCAGGTATCTGAAACCGCAGCACCGTGTCTGTGTTAGAGCCTCCATTGTGTTTATCATGGACCTGTCTAATTCCTGGAGAACATGCTTTTGACCTCTTATATCCGACTCCGCGCCGAGACATGAAGAATGACTCAGAAACAACAAAGACTGTCGAGTATCTCTGAACACGTTTAATTCACGAGTTTACAGCATCTTCTCCTCCGTGCTCACTCACGCGTGTTTTGGTGGTTCGGGCGCGCTCCACGCACGCTCCGGATCTGCCATAAAGTCCCGCCTCCGTTTGATTGACAGCAACAGGCAGATTTCTCCAGTTTCTTCTATAAGGTTGAAACTTGAAACGGGAAACTGTCAATAATGCGGGACTGTGCGGGACATCTGGTCACCGTAGTCTAGACCTCAGCCATGAAAATAGCTCTAAAACATCTGCAGCACATACCGGCCATCGGCTGCTCTACACATCGGCGTCAGTATTGGCAATAAAAAAAAAACAACATCAGTCGACCTCGAATTCCAATCACCAGCTGATTTTTTATGAATCATCTCTGACGAGAACGAGCACACCTCAACCCAAAGGATTGGAAACTTTTGTAATTGTCTACTTTCTTCTTTTCTTTTGTTGACTGGATGCTTCGTTTATTTTGTTTGTTTGCAGGCGGGCCTCATTGACAGCCCCCCCAGGGTGTTTAACAGCCCCTACACCACGACCACATCTATGGATTATAATCCCACCTACAGGATGTCTGAGTATAAGGTTTGTTGTAATGAAAGGTTTAATCTGTAATGGTCAGCTAAAGCATTGGCAGATTCAATGAGAAACCATTTTTTACTTTTCAAAAATGATCATCACTCTGAGTTTTATGCAGGCTGAACATGAAAATAGTCTCCTACATTAGCTTCTGATAGAAACCAGACGGTGAAACTCTAGGATTAGAAAATCCTGACAGATCTACGTCACCCTGTCACTAACATTCATGGACTCACCCATCTGGACTCACGACGGGGAAGGCTGTTGTTGGTTTAGCGTCCAGGAAACAGCAGCGAACGTCTTCGCTAGTAGAAGCTAACTGTTAGCATTAGCACCTCCACCACACAGCAGAACTCCTCCAGGCTTGTGTTATTTGTGCAAATAACACATCAGCGCTGCAGAGGCGACGAAGTCGGTGGTTGCGTTGTGCTTCTGTTAGCCAATCAGAGGAGATGTCCAGATAACAGGAAATAAGAGCTTAACTCCTGTCGTCTGAATCTACGTTCTCCTCTGGCTGAATTCTGCGTGCTGAAACAGGCGCACCGGAGCTTTTTTTCCAGTCCTACTAGATACCACTGTTGAAAATATGAGGAAAGTTGACCTTTAATAAGCTAAAATGGCCCACACTCGTATAGCGGCTTTCAGAGGACTCCGAAGCGCTTTACACTGCAGTATCATTCATCCATTCACACACACATTCACACACACATTCACACACTGGTGGTGATGAGCTACGATGTAGCCACAGCTGCCCCTGGGCGCACTGACTGAGGAGCAGCTGCAATCTCAGGCGCCACCGGTCCGTCCGACCACCACCAGCAGGCGAGGTGGGGTTAGGTGTCTTGCCCAAGGACACTACAGCAGAATTCTCTGTCCGGAGCCGGGATTGAACCTGCAACCTTCTGATTACTGGACAACCCGCTCAACCTCCTGATCTACTGCTGCCCAAAATGGGAACTAAAATGTTCTCTAAACATCAAGTAATAATAAAGAAATATATTAGTTAAAATGGAACAATTTTCTGTTGTATATTAATATAACAGCTAAATAATAATAGTTTGTTTTTATTACAGTTAAACAGCAATAAAGATGTAAAACTGTCCCTCCCCAGCTGTAGATCCTCCCCTGGGGGCACACTGGGTATGGCAGGGTAGGGTTCGGTGCCTGTAGGACAGAAAGGGTTAAAGGAAACAGCTGTTTGTGTTATTAAGAGTTGATTAAGGGAATCTTTAGAAACAGCCGTCTGATGAACTCTGGTTCTTGTCCAGGCTCCTGGCGGACTCTCTCCCTCCACCTCAGAACTGAACCTGTACAGCTTCAACAGTCGCAGTACCAGTCCAGTGGGGGTCTCCTCCACTCTGGTGCCTTCCCGCACCCGCTTCTCCACCTACGACAGCCTGATGAGGAGGAGGAACGACGTCAACAACACCGTATGTACACCAGCACGCGTGCGATCACCCAAACCCTTCACACGGTGCATAACGTGTCGTGGTTCTACGTTCAGGTGGTGGCGCCGGCCCACTACAGCATGAGGTCCACCACTCTGGGAGCGCCAAACAAAAAGAATTATATAGAAGAACTGACCAAGCAGCTGGACACCTGTCAGAAGGTAGAGCTTTTCTCTGATGTACCCGGTCTAGGTTGGTGTTCCACAGGGCTCTGTCTCCAGCCCTCTGGTGTTCAGGCTGCCTTTAGTCCACACTCGTCTACGCTGACAACACTCAGGTTCATGGAGACAAATTCACTGCTACCACTGTGTAGCAGAGAGGCCCAACAAACCCTGAGTGATGAGATCTTTGCTAAAATCAAACATAATTTGATCATTCCTCTCCCTAATCTGATGTTTTGGATGTGGTTTTTAAAATCTTGTAGCGTAACCAGTTCCTGGAGGCAGAGAGCGTCGAGATGGAGAAGGAGAGGAACCAGATCAGGTCAGAACCCGCCTCCTGTTGCTGCAGGAGCTGCACGATTCCACAATCTTTCATTGCCAAGTTCTGCAAGTTCCTAATGAGCTGCACCTCCTCCCTCCCTCCCTTCACTCCTCTCCTCCTGTTGTCTCTAAACCACTGCCCCGGTCCCGGTCTGGCGGTTGATCTTCTGCAGGTTCGAGATGCGGGCCCTGTTGGTGAACAACGAGGACCTCCTGAGGACCAACGCTCAGCTGAACAACGAGCTGAAGAGGATGAGAGAGCAGATGGTAGAGATGGAGAAGGACAATCAGTCACTGAGAGACAGTTTCAGAGACATGGAGGTGAGGCATTTGGACCGACTGGGACCCAGATGTTGTTGTTTTTACTGACTGCTGTTCTGCTGCTCAGGTGGAGGTGAAGGAAGCCAGAGAGATAATGGTGGAGGCCAACACTCAGGAGTACGCCTTCAACTTCCTGGAGCAGTCTCTGAAAACCCGGATTCAGGACGCTGAGGTAAGCTGTTGCCTGGTTCAGGGTCAAAGGTCACATTAAACTGATAAATCAGAGGGAGGTTCATGTTTTTGAACGACTTTAAACACCGGGACACCAGCATGGGGCTGTGAGAAGTTTCTGTTTGGTGCTTCCTCTCAGGAAAACCTGGAGAAGCAGACGCAGCACGCTCAGACTCTGGCTGAGAAGTTGTGGCTGGCTGAGAGACAGCTGGAGGAGCTGGAGGTGGACAGAGGAAGCCGAGACAAGAAGACATCTGAACTCAACACCATCATCATCAGGATGGAGGAGGAGGTAGAGCCATAGGTCCTCATGCTGAATCCCCCGATGCTTCCTCTGGTCTGACGTGAGACTGTGGATGTGTTTATAGCTGAGTGAAGCCCTGCAGAAGTCCACACAAGCTCAAGCAGAGTCTAACCTGCAGCAGAAGCTACGAGAGGACGCCCAGATGAGGGTGGATGAGCTGGAGGAGGCGCTCCTGGAAAAGGACCAGGAGATCCAGAGGCTGCAGATCCTTGTTGGCAAACTGCAAGGAGAGGTAAGTCCTAACCTGGACAACGAGGAGCAGCACCTGTGAGAGCAGCTTCAGCACTCGTGTGTGTGTGTGTGTGGGTGTGTGTGTGTCTGCATGCAGGTTTCTGGGAAGCTGATCGATAAGGAGCGGACTCTGGAGGAGGAGATCCAGCTCAGGGAGCGGCTGCAGCTCCAGTGCAGGCAGGCAGAGAGGACGGTGGACGATCTCACCATGGAGCTGCAGAGCACCAACCAGACCAAGGATGACCTCGCCAAACAGGTCAAAGTGGCTCAGGTAAAAGGCTTCGACTGGAATCGGACATGAAACGCTTTCGTTATGAAGAAACGTGTCACTGTTGACTAAATCTGCATCATCAAATAAGTTGAGTCGGTGTGCTGTAAGAGTAACGGCGCAGACGTGGAACTGTTGGTTACTTCTAACCTCTGGTTACAGACAGACTTAACCAACCCGAGTGAAACCAATAACTCGGATATAGCCGTCTCATCAGGGCTCCATCTCCGTCGTTTTCCTCGTGAAGCGTAGACCGAGAGATGGTCTCAGAAGTTTTCAGTGAACAGATCTGAAGCCGATCGGAGGTCTGGTCTCTCTGGAGGATGAAACACCTCCGGTTCTTCTCACATCCGATGGAAAATCAAAAGTTAAGATAAAGGTTGAATATGGAGCACGGACACTCTGGCGACATCTAGTGTTTGGAGGTGCTAGTTGCAACAACATGAATCGTTTTCCAGCCGTTGGGGTGTTGGTCCTCTGCTGCCGCGTTATTGGCCAGCCAGCACCGTGCTCAGAGACCAGGGTAGCGACTCTTCTCTACTAATACATTTATCTTACAACAGTATTTACTGTTAGAACATCCTCCGGGCTCAGAATCAACTGCTTGACTCGTCAAGTCCGCCATTTTACACAGTCCCAACCTCGCCCTGCCGAGTGGACTTTCTAGCACAACGGTGCCCTCTAGTGGCTGGTAGATGTAAACGTGAACCCAGCGTCGTGCCCGACAAAATAAAAATATGAATATTCATTTTTTTGAAATATAGCCTTTAAAGGAAAACCTGCACATTCATTCTGCACGCCTCCAAACGCTCCGTGGAGGTGTTATTTGTTCAAAAATATAGCTTTTTATGTTGATGTTGTTTATGTTTATGTTTATTTATTTAGCAGACGCCTTTATCCAAAGCGACTTACAGTTTATAACCTACAGGGCGTGTTGTGATCTGTGGAGGAAACCCACGCATGCACGGGGAGAACTCCACGCAGAAAGGCCGCAGCCGAGTTTCGAACCTGCAACCTTCGTGCTGAGAGGCAACAGTGCTAACCACTGCGCCACCATGCGGCTTTTTATTTCAAATGTTCCATATTGCACCTTTAACAACAACTGACTGTGAGGGTTGGGTGATAGTTATGTCATGGTGAATGACTCGTTAGTGCCAGTGAAAGGGTTAGTTACATACCTGTGGTCATAGTAACACGAGGCCACTGCATAGCAACAAACATGGCATTAGCAAGTGATGCTACCTGGTGCTAGTGATGCTAACGTGTCACCAGAACTAGGTTTAAATCACCAGGTGATAAAAAACCATCATGGGTCGTATCATCAGAAGGATTCTTTAAATAATCCCTGTAACCAAAGCGGGTTGGTTAGTGGTCCGGCTGACCCGGGAACCAAAAACAACAAAACACCGTCCATCGTCTCTTTTCTGGGTTCATTTCCAGTCAATTGTGAATCTTGTGAAGTCTGAGGAGAACGTCCACCCTGACTTCATCTGTTCGTGATTCAAACGTCCACATGTATTAATCAGTCATGTAAGCCATCAGAGTTTGAGGTTAATGAGGTTTTAATTATGTAAATCCCGTTAAAAAGTCAGCGTGGATAATTCCATAATCCTAAATATACATCAGGCTTTCATCCGTCGCCTTTCCGAGTAACCCGAGTGACCTCAGAGCTGTTGCTGAAGCCGGCGTTTCTGCTCCTCCCGAACAGGAGAAGCTGATCGACCTGGAGAGCGAGCTGGAGGAGCTGCAGGACAGCGAGCACAGATGGGCCGCCAAACACAAGAGAGCCATCGAGCAGGTGAACGCTCCGGAAACGGGAACGCCTTCTGATTCACGCTCCCATCTGGACAAATGATTCACTCATCCATGTTTGTTAACAGACCGAACAGTTGCAGCTGAAGCTGATTCAGGAGAAAGATCTGAACGATCAGCTGGAAACGGAGCGCGTGGTCATGGAGAGACAGGTAAACTTCCTCGTGTCTGCTCACGAGGCTCCAGGCAGCTGGGAATATTCCAACTCTCCCAATTTTACATTTTTGTAGTATTTCGGATGGAAACAGGAAGTCGGTTCCTCCAGAGAGGAGCCACATACCTGAACGTTCTACTTCCTGCTTCCCTGTTAGAACCTCTAGGAACCAAAGCAGCAGTGTGAGAACCGGACGTTCTGCTGGGAACATCTGGAACAAGAAGCGCTCCAATAGGAGACGGCGCTTGATCCTTCAGAGCTTTAGAAGTTAGAAGTAAAATGTTAAATTTAGTGATAGAAGTGGTGAATACATGAACTAGTTCATCTGCACCGCTTTGGGTCAGGATGTAGGTCCTAGTCTAGAAGAACACTGAGGTGTCCTGCGGGACACGGACCACTCGGCTGACGCGGCTCGTGACATTTCCACCAGTAACAGCTCCACGGTGTCCGCACATTTCCCAGTACCCGCTTTCGTGCGGTCCCAGGCATATCCAGTCTGGGGCAAATGCTAATACAGAAGACTGCTGGTCATTGATTGGCTAGGGGGCGGAGTCACAGAGATTACTGTCTACTGCCTGGTCCGTGTTCAAATTGTGACAAAAGCCCGGTGACTCAGAAGAACGTCCACCATGTCTTGCGCCGGTGTGTTGTTTTCTCATGGTGTGTCCCGCACAGATCGAGTCAACTTTATTTAAAAAGAGCTTTGTAACATCACAGAAGCTGACCGACGTGCTTAGCGACACAAACGCAGTAAAAGCAAGCTGTGATGAAGGCTCCCGACATGTACAACTAAAGATAAAGATCCAAACCGTTCCCACGCTGAACTAAAAACCACGTGAAACCGACGCTGAAGGAGCCAGCGGCAGCACATCCCGCTACGGAGCTTCTGCTCGGTTCTCCACACCTCCAGGAGAAGCCGGTCAGATTAATGTGACCTCACAAACATAACACTGAGTTTAATAGTTTATTAATTAAACCAACGGCAAAAAATGCTCCTAAAATCAATGTTGACAAATATAAATCTTTTTCAACTTCATTTTCATCTCAGAACCGCTAAATATTTAAAAAACTAACCTGGAAAAGCTGTAAAAACCTAGTAAAGCCAGCGTGGTTCAGAAGATTCACACCACCATCTTCACCAAACGGCATCAGTGATGTCATCGTAACTAGAAAATAATCCTCTTTCTGAACCGTAAAACTTTATTTGTGTCCAAGTCGTGTTAAAGCCGTCCCAAACTCCAGCTGATGCGTCGTTTATCCCAAACAGCGTGAAATGCCATGAATCTGTTTCTGTGTTCAGCTGCGAGAACTTCGTCTGGAGGTGGAGGAGCTTCGGAGCTCCAGAGTCCAGGAGGACGTCGTCTCCAGAGCGGAGAGTCGAGTCAAGGAGCTGGAGAGCACTCTGAGGACCGAGGAGAGGTGGATCCGCTGTCATCTAGGAATTTTAGGAATAATAAACTAAAATTTGAAAGAAAAGAGAATTTAAATAATTCTTTCTTTTTCCTGATCAGGAACAAATCTAGTCTGACAAACACCATCGGTAAACTGGAGAGGAGGATCAACGAGATGAACGATCAGATGGAGGAGGAGCACCGGATCGCCACGGAGCAGAAGGAGCTGGTAACACACACACACACACACACACACACACACACATGCTTGTATTTATGTGCTTGGGTGGACCCTCCATTGGCTTCCATCTATTTCAGGGACTCCACTATGCCTAACCCATACCCTAACCAGCGTATTCCCTAAAGTTATCTGCAACAAAAACTCAATTCACATCTTATCTGTAAACCTCACCCCTAGGGAGTACTCCGTATTAGGACCGGGTTTTGGTCCTAACAAGGACCTTCGGTCGTAAGAAGGTTACTAAATATCCCAAATCCGGTCTTCACAAGGATACAAGCCCACACACACACCACCTCTCGGAACCTTAGATCCACATCTGAAAACCTCCTGACTGTTCCTCGAACCAGACTGAAAACCAAAGGGGACAGGGCCTTTCAGACTATTGCAGCCAGACTTTGGAACAGTCTACCTTCAAATCTCCGTCTCTCTAACACTGTAGAGGTCTTTAAAAATCATCTAAAAACTCACCTTTTCATCCAGGCGTTCCCTCCCTAAATGTTTCAGAAAGATGGCTTTGTTCAGGTTCACACCTTCACTTTTTTTATACTCATGATTTTATTTTCTATTTCATCACTGCTATTGTTTTTCTGATGTTTTTATTGGTTAGAGGTATTTGCCCTGATCTTTATCATGTTGTACAGCGCTTTGTGATTTATATCTGAGAAAGGCGCTCCAGAAATAAACTTTTACTTACTTACTTACCCCCCACACACACACACACACACACACACACAGTTCATCCACCAGGGGGCAACAGAGAATTAAATTTAAACCATTTGAGTTCCTTCACTTCTTTTTTAGTTTTTATTAATTTTACATAAAACTCAGAATTAAACAAAGTCTTTAATGATGAAAGAAGCAGATTGATTTTTACTGAATTTCTGGTTATTTTGTTTAAATGTTTGTTTCAGACTTTAATCCATATTTTCCAGACTATTAATCTCTTTACTGCTTTAGTTAAAAACATTTAAACGCCACAAACGTACTTTAGATGGACTCGTCGTATCGTTGGGACATTTAATAATGTTCTGGTTTGGTCCCGAACTCAACAGAATTTCTGTTATTACCACAAACTATGATGACTTCAGATAGAAGGACAGGAACTTCAGTCACATGAAGGAGAACGGGACGAGTTGTGTCCCACACTGAGCCCCGACCTCTGACCCGTTCTGCAGATGACCCAGAGGATTCGCTCACTGAAGCGGCAGCTGAATGAGGCTGAAGAGGAGGCGAGCAGAAAGGAGGCGCAGTTCCGCCACACCCAGAGGGAGCTGACAGAGGAGAGGGAGACCACCAGCCGGCTGCAGAGGCAGCTGCTGGACCAGCACCTTCAGAGCAAGTATGAATCACACACACACACACACACACACACACACACACACACACACACGCACACACACACGCACACAGAGCGTAAAGTGTAGAGAGACTGTTCATCTACCCAGTCCACCGAGGTATTCCTGCAAACAAATATCACCAGTGTGTCTCATAAACTCGGGTGTAAACAGCTTGTGAATGTTATTATCGATCTCTGGTCCGAGTGTTAAAGGCACCAGAATCCAGTAACACAACAGATGGGTTGAAGACGTTCAAAAACTGCTTTACAAGTTCCTCAGTAGGGTCGAAGGGAGCTGCCGTCTTTCTGTGGTGGTTATTATGGGCTCGACACACGGGAGGCGACAAACGACCGCGATCAGCAAAATTTGTAGCCGTCGCTTTTATTACCTGACACACGGGAGGCGATCAGCAGCAGCGGCCAGCGGCAAAGCCGTCTACGCGTTCTGTTCCATGGCGAAATTGAAATTTCCGTTGTTCTGCTTGGCTGTGTCAGGTTGGAGGGAATTAAGGTTATTTAAGCGGTTCAGAGTTAATAAAGTGGTAGATATTATATTTCACAAGGTGCTGCTAGAGTTATGTGAAATCTTACTTCTGATTTTACTATAAAACATAATAATAACCAACTTCTCCTCCATGTTTGCTCGGAGATGTACGGAGCATCCTGTCCGCTCATTGGTCAGTTAATGAAACCTCCGTTGATTGGTCCTCGTCCGAGCGACAGCGATAAAAAGTTGAAAATGTTTCAACTTTCTGGGATCGCGTCGCTGGGTCGCCTGTGCACGACACGTGCACGAGCGCAAACTTTCACACGCACGTTTTTCGTGTTTCGCTTAGTAGGAGAGAGACCCGCGATTATCGCTTTGTCGCGCATGTCTCAATGAAAATGAATGGAGGAGAGGCGATGTGGCCTCCCGTGTGTCGAGCCCATTAGGCAATAGGTTGGGGCACTATGGACAGGTGTGCAGCCAATCACAGGACACACACAACCCATCACACACCTGAGGAGCCTTCAGTCACCTATTATGCATGTTTTTCGTGTGAGGAGTGAGGAGAACACGCTAACTCCACACACGCGTGAAGAGAACACGCTAGCTGCACACACACGTGAGGAGAACACGCTAGCTGCACACACGCGTGAGGAGAACACGCTAGCACCACACACGCGTGAGGAGAACATGCTAACCCCACACACGCGTGAGGAGAACACGCTAACCCCACACACGCGTGAGGAGAACACGCTAACCCCACACACGCGTGAGGAGAACACACCAACTCTACACACGCGTGAGGAGAACACGCTAACTCCACACACGCGTGAGGAGAACACTCTAACTCCACACACGCGTGAGGAGAACACTCTAACTCCACACACGCGTGAGGAGAACACTCTAACTCCACACACGCGTGAGGAGAACACGCTAGCTGCACACACGCATGAGGAGAACACGCTAGCACCACACACGCGTGAGGAGAACATGCTAACCCCACACACGCGTGAGGAGAACACGCTAACCCCACACACGCGTGAGGAGAACATGCTAACCCCACACACGTGTGAGGAGAACACGCTAGCGTCACACATGCATCAGCTCATAATAAATGTTACACGTTTTGTACCCTGATGAATACATGAAGCATTGTTTGTGTCTGACAGGCGTAAGGAGAACCTGACGATCCGTCAGACCCTGGACAACCTCCGGTTGGACCTGAGTGTGGATGATGAAGACGAAGATCAGCTACACACAGCAAACAAACAGGAAGAAACAAACAGCATCACCAAGGTTTAAAATGCGTACAAGTCAGTAGCAGTGGTTTTCATCTCCTACGCAGCGGGAAGCTTTTCAGTTTGGGGTCTGAGAAATGATTCTTAACACTTTTGAAATTTTTCAAGAAAGATGTTTAGGTGCTAGGTCGTAGTACAAACAGCCTTCAGGTTCCTCCGTCTGTGTGGCCCAACCAAGACTTCAGTGTTGTGTTCCCTCTTAGCTGGACTGTTTATTTACTCCCTCTAGTGGAGGACAGGGAGAACTGCAACCGCTCCACAAAGAAACTTCGTTTCCTTTTGTTTTTATCAGAATTGATCTGATTTTCGCCTGCAGATGCAATGATGACGTCTTTAAATAACTTTTCCTGCAGTTTATCCTGATTTATTAGTTTATTTGTCTGCACTGTTTCCCGTCAGACTGCAGGTTGAGATAAATGTGGGTTATTAAGCGTTCTGATTCACAAACATCACCTTGAGATTATTTATTCTTCAGTTTGTTTTTGTGATTAAAATTTTATTTTTGATTCCTTCTGGGATGCATTTGAAAGTTTAGATTTAGTTTCTAGGATTAAAAGTTAAATAACTTTAATGTATTTAAGGTGGTTTGCTGCTGTTAGGAGGTGAACATGATGCACCTTCTGTGTAAATGAGATTTTTGTTGCAGCAAAACAAAAAAGAAAAGTTTAAAAAGAGGAAATGTGGTCACTAATTAGCGTCAAACCTAGACACGTCCAGGTTTTCTCAGCTGCTTCTCTCTTGTGGTTTTGAGGATTAGAAAAAGGTCATTTAAACTGAGAAATAGCAGTAGGACATGTTTTAATTTATTGTAACTATCATTGATTTATTGTCTAATCTGAATGAAAGCTGTTTGTATTTTAACGGAAACAAATCAGTTCCTGCTCCAGAGTTTCACTCCATGTTCAGAAGTTTCTGCATGTTGGAAACTTAAAGCTGCATCTGTTAGATTCCCCAAATGTTTACATTTTCTACCTTTGTTTTTGGAAGCAAGGATGCTGTACCTCAATGCCTATACTGTAAGATCTACTTTATGGTTCATGGGTTTCTTTCTGCTCCTGCTATGAAAATGTAAAACTAGTTAACTGATTTGTTTTGTAACCACGCTACAGCTTCACTGTCTTGGGGTATTTATATTTCATATTCACACTGTTGGACTTTAAGTAAAAACTACAAATAAACTGTTAATCCTAAACTCCTATGTTGCGTTTAGTTATTGACTCAATGATGCCTTAAAAAGACGATCAGTAGTTTTTACCTTTAATCTCTGGAAATATCCATCAAAACATTGTTGAAAATTAATAAAATGTCCATTTGCTGAAAAACTATTGGCCGCTTCGTACCATATAACCTTACAAATAGGGTCTAAAGTACTTTTGGGGGATGACATGGGTGTTTCTCAGTGTCAAGGCGCCTGGCCTTGCGAGGCGATGTCTTGTGAGGCCAGGCGTCTTACTTATGAGGACACCGTCCTTCCTTGGTCAAAGAAAACGGTTAAATGGAACAGACTTGCATCACGTGACCGCGGCTTTCACGGCGGTCACCTAACGTCACGTGACACGGGAGCTAACGTCATATTTTATACGTATTATTAGTTTCAATATAAATATATAACGAGCCTTTTACTTTTTAAATTGTGTATATGTTTATTAAATTAAAAATATAAGTGCGTTACTACCCGCTAGACACCAATGCTGCAACTACTAAGCAACTAACCAACCATAGATAACTTCTTTGGATCCAAAAAAAACATTTTAAATTAGTTGACTTACTTTTAATCTTGAAAATTTTCCCCGAAGTAGCTGCCGGCTTCTGATCCACACCGCAGTGTATTGTGGGTAATTTTTGACCAAGGCTAGGCTACAAGACACGTCTCGTGTATCCTTGCTCAGCTAGCTAAACGGCTAACAAACGGAGAACGTACGCCTCGGTAGAGCATGGGTGTTTTTCAATGCCAAGTAATCTCACCTTGATGTATTGGCCTCGCCCCAGTTGCCTAGGAGATACGTCATCAAGAGCCGCCAAGACGTGTTCCAATGTTCATGTTCTACCGAGGCGTGTGTTCTCCGTTTGTTAGCCGTTTAGCTAGCTGAGCAAGGATACACGGGAGGTGTCTTGTAGCCTAGCCTTGGTCAAAAATTACCCAGAATACACTGCGGTGTGGATCAGAAGCCGGCAGCTACTTCGGGGACAATTTTCAAATTTCAAAGTAAGTCAGCTAATATAAAATTGTATTTTAGATCCAAAGAAGTTATCTATTGTTACAAGCCAATTTACCAGGCTAGCTCCACTATTCTAGATTTTACTAATATCTCAGGGTTTTGCTTGTAATCTGTGTAGTGGGCGTGGCATGCTAGTTTACCAACAAACACTCTTACTCTGTAGAGTTGATAAGCAATCACCACATTACCCAGAGCTTCTAATTCTGACCAAAATTAGTTCAAGCAGACAAAGAGGAGGCGCAAATACACCAACACACCCTTCCAGTCCGTGAAGCTTATGTACACTTCAGGTTAAGACCCTTGCCAGCTGTTCCTTTTATGCTGAGGAGACAACTGACTTTACCTGTTGCCTAGGATGGAGGAAACGACTTATATCAATAACACCTAGGGATGGCATTTACAACCAGCATCTCACCTTTGCTCGGTTACCGACAGGAGGAGACCCCATTCGTAAATCCTTTTTTCGTTCCACGAATCCGAGGAACTAGGTTTTATTTCACACAGATGAAAAATGAATAATAATCCAAACGAAACCCCGACACAGTGGGTTCAAAAGTTAAACAATTCTTTGCCAATAAACCGAGTTATAGCAAAGTTGAGCTGAGTAAGCGCTCCAAAAATGACACTAGGTCAGATTATCACAGACAAAAAGCTCAAAGCAAAAGCTTCCTTCTTTCCATCTCTCTACCTCACACACTCTTCCCATCAAAGGCCCTTCCTCCTAAAAACTCTCAAAGCCTTTCTCCAAAAAGCTCAGTCCATGACTGACTGACTCTCACTCATCCCATCAAGCTCATCTCTTGAACAGACCCAATATCTTCCTTTCATTTACTGTCCTCCCTCACAGTCATTTCTTTGTTTGCTGCTTCAGACTTCAGACTTCCTGGTCACGTGTTCCTCTTCTTGTTACTTCTCCAACGGCCCCGAAGAGACCATAAATCTTGGATGTCATGATGTCACCTTTTCTTCTCCCAGTCTTCATCCGTTCGCTTGTTTCGTCTTCTCAGCGCCTCCTGCAGGCTTTCCTCTCTTCTCCTTTGGGATTACATCACCTCCTCTCATAGCATTGGTCAGTAGAGGGAGACGTGGCATGATTACCCCTTCCTTTTCTTCTGGCCAGGATCAAATGGTCATCTCCAACATTAGCTGGACAAGATGTCTTATTTATATGTTTATAGTATCTTGACCAACTCCACAGAGGATAAAAGATAACATACATGCTTACTCCCAACATCTGTTCAGGTGAAAACAGGTTATATCCAGTCATCCACAACATGAATTGTTAGACCATATCAGCAGAGTGAAGGCACATCACTACTTTACGACATCACAGTTCAGGGGGCTAGAAGTCTGACTGGACACACACACAAACATGATACGAGAAGGTAACAGGCCTTTAGCTTGGTTTCACACACACACACGGATACACCTTGTAGAGCCTAGAATTGATTTCACATAATGAGAGACATAATCCAGACTTAATTCCATACATTAACAAGTCTGATTATACTCCATACAACATCTATGGTTGATTAGTTTCTTAGAAATTGCAGCTTCGGTGGCAATATTTTAGTTAACAAACATATACACAATTAAAAAAGTAAAAGGCTCGTTATATATTTATATTGAAACACATACGTGTAAAATATAACGTTATCTCCCGTGATGCAAGTCTGTTCCATTTAACCATTTTCTTTGACCAAGGAAGGACAGTGTCCTCGTAAGCAAGGCGCCTTGACACTGAGAAACACCCCATGTTTCCTTCTGGCCAAGTCCTGCGCCTGTTGATGACGTCACACTAGACAACTGATTTATTATTATATATAGCAAAATTTTAATGTATACTAATTGTATTCTTATTAGTCAAAATTGCAAACCAACAGCTATGTTGTAGGAATTATAATTTCCATTACTAGTGCAGTTGTTATGCATATCCTTAATTAAGTTTGAGATATCTGAATCCCTACAAACCTGAGGTGGCCTTTTTACCTTTTATTAGGCAGACTGGATCTGTATTCCTGATATCTATAATCTTTTTTTCCTGGTAGAAATTAACATTCCAGAAATCCAGGAGAACATTCTTATTGAATGGACATTGCAGGTCTCTGAAATGTTCATTTTAGCCTTTAGATAAAACTTAACTAGGCAATAGAACATAAAACTGATGTCACCATTACTTTACTTTTCTAGGCAAGTAATAACTTTTACAATGTGGTAACTGAGTTACTCAATTACTTTTTGGAAAAAGTAAATTGTAACTATAACAAATTACTTTATTACAGTTTTTCTCGATTGCTTCAACACTTTAACCAACCTTTTGAACTCAATTTCCAAAACCACAACGTCATTTTTAAAAGCACGTCCATGCGCTGACACCATGTGGTCATTTAGAAAGCACTAGCAGTCAGTAATGGTAACTGAAGTCAGCACAGCCGGAGCTCAGAACACAATTAACCAACAGGAAACACTAAACGTCACAATTTAACACACCAATCAGAAACTCCCATGGATAGATCAAAGGGCCAAAGTCAGCTCATTCAGGTCTGAAACAATGGATCCAAAGAGATGCAAAGGAAGAGGAGGAGGAGGAGTAAGTCTAAGACACCAGGGTGGAGGAGGAGGTGGTCTAGGATGCCACAGTGCGGGAGGTGCAAGAGGAGGTGAAAGAGAAGGAAATCTAGGACACCAGGGAGGATGAGGAGGGTGAAGAGTAGTAAGAATAGGAAAAGGAGGTCTAGGCAGGAGGTGGAGGAACTACAGTGGAGTAGAAAGTGGAAGAAGAGGAGGATGAGAAGGAGATCTAGAACACCAGGAAGGAAGAGGAGTAGGTCTAAGACACCAGGGTGGAGGAGGAGGAAGAAGAGGAGGAGGAGGTCTAGTACACCGGGGGGGAGGAGGGGGAGGTTGAGGACGACAGCAACACGGATGGGTAAGAACCAGGGCTAGGACACAAGTGATCTCGGATGAAATTCGAGCCACTTTAGTTGACCAAGTCCTTGTCTATGGTATGACTATGAGGGAGGCGGGGCAACGAGTGCAGTCAAATGTGAGTCGCTTCACTCTGGTTCAAGATACCAGTAGCCCAAGATTTTCTAACATCTTTCTGCCTGCATAATCTCCCTTTCTAATAAACCCGATGGAAGAGTGTTTTTCAGCACGGCAGACGAAAGTGTCCGTGTTCACCTCCTCGAGGCCACGGAGGAAGCCTGCCTCGACATCTCAGCAGATGAACGCCAGGGGTTTCTCCTGATCTTGTGATTACCTTTTTCTTATTCCCTTTTCTCTTCCTTCACAATTAGTATTTTTTCCAATTTTAGATTACGGGGGGAAAAATTGTTATTCTCGTGACGCGCCTCTTGATTTTTATCATGAGAGGCGCTTTCTTCCTCTAACACAAACACAATCTTCTTATTGCGACCAGGGTTCTGAAAGACTGAATAAATCAGTATGATTAGTCATTAAATCACGGAGGCTAAGATAGGAGATCTTAACACGTATAAACCAACCACACCTTAACCTGGTTTAATTGTTTCAGTTTTGTGAGATTATTGGGATTCATTTTCTTCAGGATGACCTCATAGAAATGAGCCTGAGACTTAAGCTTGGTTTATGCTTGACACATTTACTTTCCGCTTGGTGATGCGACTCGCGGATGGAACGCGCTTCACAACTCGCAGCGTTTATGGTTCATGCGGCTTGTCTCTGCGGTGAGCCAATATTCTCCCAAACTGTAGGGGGAAGCATGGAGCTCTACGGCATGCATCCAACACTACACCATAGTAGAAGTAAAAATTACTGTTTACAACATGGCATTCCAGCATTTTTTAACAGCGTCCTCGTCTTTTCCGACAGTGCGAGCTATTTCTCTCCAAGAATTATTAACAACATGTTGATCACGGTGATCTCTGAGAGCTGAATCATACAAATGTCTGTATTTACGAACCTCTGCCATACTAGTTCTTGCCGGTCCGCCATGTTTTTCCGCGTCCGACCGTCCCCGTGGTTAGAAAATTTCCTAGGTGCGCGGTGCGGAAAGTTTGGGCCGTGCGGAGGCACGGTGGAGGGGGGTGGTTGTTAAAATGACGCAATTTTGCCACGCGGAGCCGTGCGGACCTCACGGACGCGTCAAGCATAAACCAAGCTTCATGTGTGTCCATGTGAATTGATGCACTCCCAGGATAAGAAACCATCAGCATAAAACAAACAAAGATTTATTTGCAGCTCTGGCATCAGATACAATAAACTCATCACAGATCATTCCACTCTCATCGAGTCAAACATGCTCTTACTGCGCAGCAAGCACGTACAGGCATCAACACAAACCGAGAAAACTCAAACAGGAACAAACTGCAGGCATCAGAACAAATTCACGCAGATTCTCAAAAATAAAAGCTCTCGGAGGTACTTTGATTACACCGACATTTCTGGCACAAAAACAGCTGGGCTTCTGCTCACTCTGCATCTGTTTGGTATTAATCATCAGTTTTACATGAAAACATCCAGCAGCTCACAAGTTTTATGTTGGATCAGACAAAAGGGTTTCACCAAACACAAGACTGAACACCTAAATCACGAGAAAAATGAAAGCCTCAGATGAATGAAACCAAAGAATAAATTACAGAGCTGAAGCAAAAATGCACCTAAAGGCGTTACGTGTAGCCGAATAAAAAACAAAACAAAACCCACAAGATTTTTCTGAATTAAAATGCTTACATGAAACAGTGTTTTTCAAACAAAGACGTAAAAGATATGAACTGACTTTTAGAGCTCTGTTTTGGCAAAATACCATGGCACGGTGGCGGCAGAATCATGTATGGTTTCGTTTAGAAATGGGGTCAAATACGTTGAAGTGGCTGAGAGCCCAGAAACCATAAACGAGTACAAAAAAGTAAAAGCTGTAATGACCCAAGTCAGGACTAACATTAACCAAGGCCTCCAGACCTTTTGGGTTTCTGTAAAGGATGCAGACCTAAGACCTCCAGATGTTAGACCTGCTCACACAGCTTTAACAACGCATCATAAAACTGAAAGAAAAAAATGATTTCAGGTATCTTTTGCCACGTAGTTTGTTACCTTAAAGGATTATTTTGTCTGATTTTTTAAAGGAAACATCATCAAAAATCTGTTGAGTCTTTTTTTTCCTCACCGTCTTTTTATCAAGACTGAAGAAAACAAAAACATCTTAATGACCAAGAATTACAGAAATCCCCCAGAAGTGTGACCAGCGCATATTTGTTCCCACTTCCGGCTTCTACTCTTGGGTCTCAGTTTATTAAGGTTGATCATTTAATTTATTCTACTGAGAAGAAAATAAATTGAACGTATGCTTCATGTTGGCGTGTTTTTCTGTTAAACGTTGTAAAGATCCAGTGACGGCACGCCACTAGAACAACAAGCCAGCTCACTTAACAACCGTTTTCTGTGGAAGCAGCAGAAGTTTAGATGAGCTAACATCTGTCACTCGCTGCGATGCTCCAAAGCAAACTTACATATTTCAGCATCTAAAGCACACCTGGTCAGCGAAAACAACACATTTATGTATAAAATACATGGCCATTTTACATATGTTGTATTAAAGTATGCAAAGTACCAAACAATGCCAAATTACACTTTTTTTAAATTAACCAACTAAATAATGGGAACAGGCTAGGTTAGCTTGACTCTTAGCATGCTAATGCTATGGGATAAAAAGCCAGCGCTTCAAAGGATTTAGAACTGAACGTAAAGCGGGACGATTTCCTCTGACTGAAACGTTACAGGAACACGGCCACCTTTTACTCACACGTTTGAGCTGTTTATATTAGGTTAGCATCCTGCTAGCACGGCCGATTACTGATGCTACGTTAGCTAGTCGGTCAGTTTGTCTGTTGGTTAGATAAACTCCGTGAAGACAAAGTTAACCTTTAAACTGTTCACTTGTGCTTGAATGGCGACGATCTGCTAAACGCTAGTGTTCGATATCCGCACCGTCGGGCTAAAACCACCCATCTCCAGTCATAGCTTACATGAATCAGCTGTATTCGTCTTCTGAAACATCTATCGATGGTTTCATAGATGACTTATGAATAAAGGGGTATCAGAGTAAGGATCTCCATTTTTGGAGATACAGGGTCTTTGCCCGACTGTGACCATGTGCTCAGTTAGCTCGTTCAGAAAGGACTGCTGCATTTCTCCACACTTTTATTTCATTAATAGTTGAAAATGTAATGCAGCTTAAAGTGGCTCGAGCTGAAATGAAAAACCTTCAGTAGTCCCAAATTAGCTCATGTGGCTAACAAAATAGCTACCACCCCAAAGAGTGCCGCAAATCAAACCGCGAGAGAGAAAAACCGAAAACAGGTGTAATGCTGAGAAACACAGCAGGAGTGCTTCACACCACAGACGTGTACAAAACACCTTCAGCACTAATTTATCAACTAAATTTCACTGATAACTGAAAATCATACATGAGGCTGACGACACCAGAAATAAAATAAATAAAACATTGGTCCCACTAATCCTCAGCGTGAAGCTTCAGGAGAATAAGACTAGTTTCACACAGACATCCAGCCTGATATTAAACTCACCGTAGGGCCGATTAAACCCATTGTTTAACCTTCTCCCTGCTGTGAGGCGATAAACAGTTAAAGCGCTCCAACTGAAGCTCTGATTCAATATCTCTAAAATCATTCAAATGACAAGAAGACCGAGAAAAAGAGTTTAATTTCCAGGCTGCATGTCTTTAAAGAGGCACATTATGTGTCTGACGCCATCTCCTCCTGGTTTTAGTTACTCCTGGAGGCCGACTGGCTGTCGTGGTGGTCCCACCGGCCTCCACTAGAGGGAGCCAGAGCTGTTTCACCGTCAGGGAGGCAGACAGGAAGAAAGCTGAGCCGAAACAAAAATAAGGCGGCTCGTGTTTGTTTTTCAGGGAGAGAAGAAGAGAAACATGCTATCAAACAGACAGGAAGTAAAGTAAAAGGAGAACAAAGGAGACGCGCCTCGTCGTTCCTGCTTTAACATGCACATTTCTTCTCACTGGGCTGAGAAGCTTCCAGCTTCGTAGCTCCGTTCCCATTGGCTGAATCAGCAGGTGGTTTGTCCACACACTGCTCCATCCTCTTCATGACCAGGTCCAGCAGCGTTATCACCGCTTTGTCCACCTCCGCTCCAGTAGCTGCACTGGTCTCAAAGTATGGGATCCTGTGAGGAACAATAAAACACTTGCAGCTTTATTTCACATATAAACAGCTTCATTCAAATGTTCTGAAAGGGATTAGCAATTATGGATTATTGAAGGTGATTAGATAACTGCATTAAGAAGTTGAACAGGTGTTCCTAATAATCCTTTACAGGGTATCTGCAGGTTTAAGGGAGCCAAATTTAAGACTTTTTAAGACCTTTTTTAAGGCCACTTAGACCAAATTTAAGCTATTTATATAATTTAATTTAAGCTTTATTTTCCCGCTATTGCCTGGAACCAGCACTAACCACGTCGCAAACGTGGGATTAGCCATCCAGTTACCATCAAACTTGCACATCCCCACGGCGCAAGCTCCCACTAGTTTAACCAGCTAATGTGCTCATCTAAAAATAGCCCCCTTTCACAAGCAACTGAATGTGTTCGGTTCCGCTTATGCCAACATCATACATAAAAACGCTGAACACTAACTTCATGAAAATTTCATAGAAATAAAATAATCGTGTTTATTGGGTCTTTGAAAATTTAAGACCTTTGGAAACTGTATTTAAGGATTATTTGTAATTTTTAAGGATTTTTAAGGCCTTAAATTTGGAAAAGCTAATTTAAGACTTTATAAGACTTTTTAAGGATCCGCGGATACCCTGCTTTAGCTGAGTGTATATAACTAGTGTTAGCTCTTCTGTTTGATCAGAACTAATCTATGTTTATCTAAACTGAGGTTGTTCAAAAAATTTGACTACAACAGGTGAGATATTACCAATTCCTAAATTCCACACAGAAACAATCACCCTGAACAGTTACTTTTTAACCCACTCTGGTCAAAATAAGTTTTATAAAAGGACGAACAACTAAAGCTTGGTTTATGTTTGACGCGTCCGCGAGGTCCGCACGGCTCCGCGCGGCAAAATTGCGTCATTTTAACAACCGCGCCCCTCCACCGCGCCTCCACACGGCCCAAATTTTCTGCACCGCACACCGCGGACGGTCGGACGCGGAAAAACATGGCGGACCGGCAAGAACTAGTATGGCAGAGGTTCGTAAATACAGACATTTGTATGATTCAGCTCTCAGAGATCACCGTGATCAACATGTTGTTAATAATTCTTGGAGAGAAATAGCTCGCACTGTCGGAAAAGACGAGAACGCTGTTAAAAATGCTGGAATGCCATGTTGTAAACAACAGTAATTTTTACTTCTACTATGTAGGTGTAGTGTTGGATGCATGCCATAGAGCTCCATGCTGCCCCCTACAGTTTGGGAGAATATTGGCTCACCACAGAGACAAGCCGCATGAACCATAAACGCTGCGAGTTGTGAAGCTCGTTCCATCCGCGAGCCGCATCACCAAGCGGAAAGTGAACACGTCAAACATAAACCAAGCTTAAGTCCTTCAGGGGAACTTCTGAGTTTAAAAATGCTCATGAAATACGTGTGCAGCAACCAGGTAGGAAGGTTTTAACGTTGAAAACCTGTGACGCCTGCCTCCAGAGGGTTAATGCTACAAGTCCGAACTTTGTTCTGTAACACTTTTTAGACTGAAACCCTAAACAGGTAACAACCATCATTTATCAGCTAGCAGCTAGCTATCAGATAAGTGCTAATAGCTACCAATTACTTATTAGATAAGTTCTAAGGGCTGACTTGCTCTTTAATCAGCTAACCCCTATTGACTATTAGATCATCGCTAACTGCCAACAGCTATTAGCTCAAAAACATCTATTCATACTGTTTTTCTATCGTTTTTATGTCTATTTTGGATTTTGATTTTTATCTAGAAAGAGCCATCTTTAGCAGCTATCTTTTTCTAACAGCTATCAGTGGTAAAGGTTTAATATTTAATCAAAAGTTTTTGGTGTCTAAACGTTCAACCAGTGAACCCGCGTTAGAATAAAGTTATAAAACCAGTTTGAGGATCTAACTGGGACGAGTAGATTTGTGTGATGGAATGAGAGACTGTCAACTCATGACATCATCAGGATTATAATCACATTTGTCAGCATAACAACAACAACTCAGCTGGAGATGGAGGAATTTATAAAGGGGTGGAACAGTGGAAATCAATTTTTTATTGATTATTTCTGATTCTAACGGGTCACTCTGGGTTGTTTCATGCAGGCTGAACATGAAAATAGTCTCCTACACCTATCTGCTGCATTAGCTCCTGATAGAAAACAGACAGGATTAGATGAGCGGATCACACTGTCACCAACATTCATGGACTCACCCATGAATTAAATGACTGTTCCACATCTTTAAGCTGGAAATAAAATGAAAGGATTTTAAAGTCACCCATATTTATCAGCCAGCTCCTTGGCCTGTTTCTCCTGAACCTCCCGCTGATCAGCCAGGTCCGCCTTGTTCCCCACCAGAACAATATCCGGGTTCTCACAGTAGGCGTTGGCCTGAAGCTGACCTGAACATTAAGAAATGGTTCGTAAATAAACAAAACAGAGATATAATGAAACACTTAAATATGCATAGGATTAAAACCCACCACGCTTCATGTAAATGATCCTTTAAACAATCGTAGTTTTGTTTTTATGTAAATTGATGATAAATATTGAAAGACTTTGAGAAATGAAACAACTTTTCTGATGGAAACAGAGCAGGAGGACATACTCATCCAGTTTCTGACATTTAGAAAACTCTGCTGGCTGGTGAGATCGAACATCAGGAGGAAACCCATGGCATCCCTGAAGAACGCCGTAGTCAGGCTGCGAAACCTGACAGAAAAAAACAATTTAAGAACATGTGAGGGTTCATTTAAATCCTTTCTTATAAACCATAAAAGGCACCATTTTGACAGCAAGTCAGATCTGAGGACGTAAACAGCTGCTGCTAGATGTTACTTCCCGTAGAAAAATGAAACTTAAGATTCTTCTGTATTTTTTAAGAAACTCCTGAAGACCTGCTCTTCGGAGAGCATCTTCTAAACCAGGACCCTCCCTGCACCCGTCCCCCCTCTCTACTGTCCACTCCTTGTTCCCCTCCCTTTAGGATGGATTATGCTGCCTCACCTAGGACTGACTAGTGTTTGTTGTTAGCCTCAAGGACAACCTGCTGGCTTCATTATCACCTGTAAGTTGCTTTGGACAAACGCATCTGCTAAATACATAAACATAATTCTATAGAATTCATTCCTCTATAATTATAACCCTAACCCTAACCCTAGAAAACACTTTAAAACATGTCCATCTTACTCATGTGCCTCTCGTCCAAAACTGGTGTCAATCTTCAAAAAGAGGATTGGTGCTCATCAAATTTCTGTTATTAAATAACTAAATAATTCCTCTTAAAGAGCAAGTCACCCCCAAACCAACTTTTTTGCTGATAAACTATATAAATGTGTGTCTAATTGTGCTGCAGACACGTGAAGTCAATAGTTTGGCACTTCGGTGCATCGTAGTTAAAATTTAAATATTCTGCCTAAAACTGCCAGTGTTGTGCCGTTGTCAGGTAAAAACTTTGCACTGTATTTGAATTTAAATCTGCCATCGCTATTGGCTAAGAGGTACCCTAGAACATTAGCTGGTACCATATGATGTCACAATGTTGTTGTGAGACTGTGTGTGTATGTATTTGTTAGCGGCTCCGCCCTCTCGGTCTGCTAGGCAACAGCATTTGTTGCATTTTTCAAACAGGAAGTGGGAGAGGAGAAAGATTCTGGTAGGGGGTGACTTGCTCTTTAAATAACCAAAGAATTCCATATAAATAAATAAAAATGCATCATAGTGAATAACCTGTAGCATTAAACTGACAGTTGTGTGTAAAATAACATCACAAAAACTTCTGGGAACTTGAGTAAATTGGAGCTAATTCAGGACGGCATAAACACCCAATGGTCTTCACCAAAACTAGCCGTTAGCTCATCACTCCTGATGAACATAAAGAGGAAACAGAGGCTGCTCAGGAAGATACTTAAATGTGACAAATAAACAAAACAATTGTGAATAATGTTGTTTCTGATCAAAACTAAGATAGGTAGGGGGTGACTTGCTCTTTAATTATTCGATAAACCTGCCGGAGTCTGCAAAATTGGTGGATGAGTGACGATAAACCAGTTATTTACATGAAACTCTGTTTACGAGCAAATGAATGAAACATGGCAGAATAAAAGTTTCTTAAAGAATGTCATTTAAACTCTTGAGAAGCAGACTGAAGCTGATTTAAGATGACTAGCTGTTAGCACGTCATTCCTGTACACCCTACTTCTCCAAACAGAGGCTGTTCGGGAAGCTATCCGAGAAGGGCTCACCGTTCCTGTCCAGCCGTATCCCAGAGCTGGAGGTGAACCTTGAAGGTTTTTCCTGTTGCCGTTCCGTTTGGATTCGATGCCGTGTAAACCTAAAGAGGAGCAAATCAAAAATTTTAGAGCCGATCCCCGAGATTGACGGTGAACTGAAGCTCTTCCACCATCTCTGGTTCGTCTCCGCGGTGAAAAAAACATAAAGAGTGTCTCTTAATCCTCAGAAAGCCGCCAGCACAACCGAAAACTCGACGAAGATTGATGCGAGACAGAAATGGAAGTTCTCTGCGTTGGATCGCGTTACTGTCAGAGAAGGTTGTGTCTCCTGCTCAGACAGGAAAGGTCAGATCGCTGCTAAACCTATTTCCTTCACAAATACGTCAGATGTGGCATTCTCATTCCGTGACGTTGGAAATCCTTTTGTTTACTTTAGCGCTCTGTCTCTTTTTCCTGGATGCAAAGACATTTTATGTAGTTAGGCTTAACGACGTCTCAGAAACCCTCAAAGGCTCGATGTTTAGCTGCATTAATAAAACCGACCCTCCGGTCAGACGGTGGGATCAGATCCTGGAATCTAACCCGGAGAAGGAATCAGGAGGTAGATCTCCGTCTGAGGTCTATGAAGAAGCTTCGGGCGGCTTTCACACCTCTGACTCTTCATCACACTTCATCATCTGGTTTGGTTCCTCAGTGCATCCATCCATCATCCATCAGCCCACCCATCCACCCACCTGCCTACAGTTTTAGGTCTAGGTAATTGGTTCTCAATCCTGATCCTGGACGGCTGGTCTCCAGCACGTTTTAGTGGTTTCTCTGCTCCAACACACAAGATTCAGTGGTTGAATCACCTGCAGAAGCTCACCAGGCTCTGCAGAAGCTTGTTAATCACCTGCTGATTGAAATCAGGTGTGTTGAAGCAGAGTTAAAACTAAAACATGCTGGACACCGGCCCTCTAGGACCAGGATTAAGAACCACGGGTCTAGGAGGTCGTGGAGGATCCCAAGGTGTTCCCTCATCTCTGATGTCACGTGGCCCTTGGGAGGCCGAGGCTGAGCAGGCTGCTAGGGTGAAGGATCGTTCAACAGCTTGGATCCAGGATCTGGTTCTGTGGGTTCTGATCAAGACGTCACTGCAGATGAAGCCCGGACCTGCGTCTCACCTTCATCTCCATCTCACCATCAACCAGGAAAAAAACACCAAGATTTCAGAGCTCGTCCCCGTAGGACAGCGGGTCTGTCAGCTTGTCAGGATGCATCTCCATCAGCTCTCTTCCAGAATCCAGCCTCAGGAGGAGGAGCCATTTTTATACCAAGTTCTGTCGGATGGAGCAACCCGTCTGATCCCAACAGGGAATAATAAAAGCACTTCCTCGTCAGATCCAGTTCCAGGAACCAAATGTCACACTGAGAATAAAAGAGTCAAATCTGCAGCTTTTACATCAACCTGCTAGCTTGGTAAATGGCCAGTTTTTGATAACTATCACCCTCTAGGGTTCTACAACCCCCCAAGGTGCTAGAGGGCCGGTGTCCAGCATGTTTGGGGCGACGGTGGCACAGGAGTTAAGAGCTCGCCCCGTAATCGGAAGGTTGCAGGTTCGAGCCCCGCTCAGTCTGTCGCTGTCGTTGTGTCCTTGGGCAAGACATTTAACCCACGTTACCTGCTGGTGGTGGTCGGAGGGACCGGTGGCACTAGTGCTCGGCAGCCTCACCTCTGTCAGTGCGTCCCAGGGCAGCTGTGGCTACATCGTAGCTCATCCCCACCAGTGTGTGAATGTGTGTGTGAATGGGTGAATGACTGATTGTGTTGTAAAGTGCCTTGGGGGGTTCCAGGACTCTAGAAGGCGCTATATCAAATACAGGCCTTTTACCATTTACGACAGTCATCCACCCACCAGTGCTGTTTTTGGCGGGTATCTTAGTTCAAGTCGGTGAGACGCAGGTCCGGGCTTCATCCGCAGTGACATCTTGACCAGAACCCACAAACAGAGTTTAATTCTCTAACAAATGGTTTCATACGTCAGAAAAAACAGGCCTGTGACTCAACAGCTGCAGAGGGAGAACGCTGGTAGAAGATCCGACCCACTGTTTGTTCCGAGATAGCTAGCAAATGCCACAGTAACCATGGTAACCAGGTCTCCTTCACCCAGACCCGAGGAGGTTTCGTCAACGCGGACAGGTCGGGAACTCACCACCCTCTTTTCCCTGAAGTCGATGCCGACTGTGGTGATGAACTTGGGGTTGAACTTGTTGTCCGTGTACCGGTACAGGAACGTGGTCTTCCCCACGCCGGAGTCCCCCAGGGCCAGGAGCTTTATCAGGTAGTCGTAATCCCCATCAGTCATCGTGATGACTGCTGTAAACCTGTGGACACACACAGACGTTCAACGTCACACTCGGACACGGAGACGGGGGGTCCAGCTAATGGGACTAAAAGGTCTTAGAGCCCGTGGTGAGGGGCTGTAAAACTGGACCGGAACGTGGTGTAGAGGGAACGTTGGAGAAATGATAAGGAACAGACGACTGGAAATGAAAAAGGTCCCCATTTAGATTCATTATTTAAGCATGGTGGCGCAGTTGGTAGCACTTTAGCCTCGCAGCAAGAAGGTTGCAGGTTTGAAACCCGGCTGTGGCCTTTCTGTGTGGAGCTGCATGTTCTCCGCATGCATGCGTGGGTTTCCTCCGGGTACTCCGGTTTTCTCCACAGATCACGACACGCCCTACAGGTTCCTGTACGCCGCTTTGGATAAGGGCTGCAGCTATCCAGTATTTTAGTACTCGAGTATTCTATCGAATCTTCCATCGATTAATCGAGTATTCTGTTTGACGACGTTTCAAGTGAAGCGAGATTATGGTCTGCTGCTAAAAATATGAAAATAAAAAAGCTAAGGTATAAAAGGCTCAATAATATACTTTAAAATTGGTGTTGTCTAGTTCCCTCTTTCCCAGCTGATATTTATAGTTAATAAATATTTTATGGCACAACATTTGACTTATATTTCATTCACAATTTAGGTTTGTATGACCTCATCCTAGTCAAAGTAACATATCTAAAAATATTCACATATAATCAGTAGAATTTAATTATTTCATTAACGTGTTCAGTAGTAATCTACTAGAAATGCTAACATTTCATTTCTACTTGTAACAATGTACTTGTGGTCATATTTATTATTATTATTGGCAGCATAAAAGTGTTAGTGAATTATATGCTACAACGGCTTGCCACAGCTCCTAGGGTGGATGGAGCAGACTCGTAGCAACAACCACACGGCAGCGGCAGCGCTCCACACCGCTGCAGAGACCCACAAGTAAACGGGCTGGTGAGATTTTCCTTTCAGCTCGTGGAGTTTAGTCGTTCACAACCGTCGCGTTTTTTTTCTCAAACACGCTTGCTTGTGAGAGCAAGCGTGTCAAGTTTCAGCTCCTAGACACCATGAACTCTGTCGGGGACTAGCTCGGAGATGAAGCCTATCCATTTTCCCAGAATGCACTGCAGCATTAATGTCATCCAGGGCCACAGCAACATGAGTGACCAGCTGGATAAACACTGGTGACGCTCTGAAGAAGGCTGCAGATGTAGCCGAATCTTGTCAGCAAGAAGGAAAATAACAAATCTTTATTAATTACTCGGTGTTAGGAAAGAACTGAATAATGGGCGTGGGTAACCAACGCAGAACAAAGTTAAGAAAGAATATCATCAATCAATCAATCAATCAATCAGATTTATTTATAAAGCGCTTTTCAAACAGAGTGCTACTCAAAGTGCTTTACAAAATGACCCCAGATTCCCACAACAGGTTAAAAACATTAACAGACATATGCAAGCACACGCACGCACACACACGCGCACACACACAAACAAGTAAAAATTATATTTGGCTGAGTCCAGATGAGCCAAGTAAGGTAAGGCAAGGAAATGCCATCAGAGGAGCCATCTGCCCCGGCAGCATCAGGTCTTCCACACTAACCCCACACCTTTCTCAGTGGCCTAGTGGTAGAGTGTCCGCCCTGAGACTGGGAGATCAGGGGTTCGACTCCTGGTCGGGTCATACCAAAGACTTTGAAAAAATGGGACCCAATGCCTCCCTGCTTGACACTCAGCATTAAGGGGTTGGATTGGGGGATTAAACCACCAAATAGTTCCCGAGCGCGCCTGTGTCTTCGCACACACCTGTGTGTGTGACAACTAATGGGACTTTAACTTTAACTGTCAGGGCACTCAGTGGAGGGGGAGCATAAACCCCCACCTATAGAGCGCCCAGGAAGCTACAGTCGACCACCGCTCCCGGGGCAGAGGGCCCCTACAGAGGAAACACTGGATTAAAATGAGTAAAAATATAATAAAAGAGCTAATATAAGGGACAAAATTTAGAAAATAAGTAATACATAAAATCATATAGACAGTAAAATAATAATATCAAATAATAAAACTGCGCTAAAATATAATCATATAAAACATGCAATGCAAGCAATAAAATATAATCATGTAAAACGAGAAATAAAACTGTAGTAAATATTTAGATAAAATATGGAGGTATTTTGGCAGCTGCAGGCTCCCGTACCCAAAGTTTACAGCAAATCAAAACTGAGCATTTTTTATGAATCTAGAGAAAACTCTTTGAGTTTGTCATTAGTCGTAGTTAAACAACCGCCAATAAATAACTGCCGATAACTCATTCACTGCCAATGTGTGGGCGTCGGACGAGCCCCCGCACCGAGAGAACAAACATCTCAGCTCTAAAGCCGATCTTCCTCCGCATACATCATGCATCACGTGATCAGAAAGCAGAACATCCATGTGTTAGGAGATCGTTTTGGGCCGCTGCTGTAAAAAAAAGTGAGGCGCGAACCGGAAAAGCGTCTGCCAATCACAATTCAACAACGGATTATGAAAGAACGGATAACGCTCAAAACGCGTGGATTCTTCCTGATGTAAGAGGTGAGTCTCCGCTTTGGTTTGGTTGTTGACATCATCCTAGCGCAACGTTCTGTCACTCTTCAAAAAACAGTAAAAACTGTGAGAAAGGCTGGCAGCAAATGAGTTAAATAAACGCCGTTAAATTCCCGTACTCAGAAAAACGAGAAAAAACTGAATTGGGGTAAAACTACAATGAACATCATAAGACCCTGCTGTTACTGCTGAAGAATAAAAAAAAATCAATAACAAACATTTACTTTTGTTTATCATCTGCTCTTCAAAAACAAACAAACAAAATGAGACTACATGTTGAACCTGAACAAACTTCTTAACCACAAAACTGTTCTTCAGCTTCCTGCTGCCTGAGTGGGGAAAATAAATAGGATAATTAAATAAAATATTTACACAAATATGACCACAAGAGTGCTTTTACAGACATCATTTATTAATTTGCACATAAGTGAGCCACTTTCATTTATGTTTTATTCATCTGAGGGTGAATCCTGTTTTAGGAGCACGAATATCGGCTTACGGAGACCCAAGGAGCTTTGATCCAATATTTCTAATAAACCCAACACGTCCGCTATGCTTTCTCAACCATTTTCAACCAGTTAGAGTAACTAAGCCACCTAATGTACGAATTTCTTATGATGGTAGGAAGGTTAGAGGCGAGGCTGAATCTTTAATCACTTGCAGTTTCATAATGAGGGACGTTAAATATCCACTCTGTTTAATTAGATCAACGAGATTAAATGAAACCAAGCAGCAAAACGAGAAACAGAAACATATTTATCTAGGTGAGAACAACAGGTGTTTGGGAATGGAGGACGCCCCCTTCCCCACGGAGATGAAGACATCTTCATCTTCACCACCACAACATCGACATCAATCAGGAAGTTATGCTCTTCCTCTTATTAATAAGGGCAAGCTGCTGTGCTGTCAGTCAGACATCCTGAAGAACCATACATTAGTAGGAGTAAATTTATCATCGCAGCCTAAATCCCCTGAAAAATGCATGATCCTCAGATCCAATTTCCTGGAATATGAGAGCCTGGTGTGAAGAACAACCCCCAAATCAGATGTCTGATAAAAAACAGCCTGCTGCTTCATTTCTTCATCTTCATGATGCTGCTGAGAAACCTCAGAGCTTCTGACTCAGAACAAACCAGAAGACACTTCCTGCCTTACAGCACAAGTCATCGAGTCATCCAGATGACTCTGATAAAATCCTGACGCTCCAAAACTAAACAGGTTGACCTTCTAAGGAAGGTGAACAGTAGGGTCAAAATCTCTACCGATGGCTAAACTTTTATCAAATGACCCGGTTATACCATGCATTACCACCACACAGCAGAACTCCTCCAGGCTTGTGTTATTAGTGGAGATTAAAGATCAGCGTTGCAGAGCAGAGTCACTGGTAGAGTCGTGTTACTGTTAGCCAATTAGAGGACAGATGTCGAAATTTAAGGAAGTAAGACTCCAAATCCTGTCGTCTGAAGCCACTTTCTCCTCTGGCTGAATTTTCTATCCTCCAACAGGAGCACCGGATTTTTCCCCCCAGAGGACAACTTACAAGGCATTCATTCCAATAGAGCCCACTGAAGGTGTGTTAAAACATGAGTAATGTCGACCTTTAAAGACGGGTGTGCTTTAATCTGATTTAAAAACTAAATCCCAACAAAAAGGAAAACGGCCTGCTTGGATCCATGTTTGGTCGTCGTCGTCTTCCTCCGCTTATCCGGGTCGTGGGGGCAGCATCCCAACTAGGGAGCTCCAGACCGTCCTCTACCCAGCCACCTCCACCAGCTCCTCCGGCAGGACCCCAAGGCGTTCCCGGACCAGATTGGAGATGTAACCTCTCCAACGTGTCCTGGGTCGACCCGGGGGCCTCCTGCCAGCAGGACATGCCTGAAACACCTCCCCAGGAGGCGTCCAGGAGGCATCCTAACCAGATGCCCAAATCACCTCAACTGACTCCTTTCGATCCGGAGGAGCAGCGGTTCTACTCCAAGTCCCTCCCGAATGTCCGAGCTCCTCACCCTATCTCTAAGGCTGAGCCCGGCCACCCTACGGAGGAAACTCATTTCGGCCACTTGTATCTGCGATCTCGTTCTTTCGGTCATTACCCAAAGCTCACGACCATAGGTGAGGATTGGGACATAGATTGACTGGTAAATCGAGAGCCTGGCTTTCTGGCTCAGCTCCCTCTTCACCACGACAGATCGGCTCAGCATCCGCATCACTGCAGACACCAATCCGCCTGTCGATCTCCCGATCCCTCCTACCCTCACTCGTGAACAAGACCCCGAGATACTTTAAACTCCTCCACATGAGGTAGGACCTCTCTCCTGACCCGGAGTTGGAAAGCCACCCTTTTCCGGTCGAGAACCATGGTCTCAGATTTGGAGGTGCTGATCCTCATCCCAGCCGCATCACACTCGGC